ATGGTGGTGATGGTGGTGATGGCGGTGATGGCGGTGATGGCGGTGACGGCTGATGGTGGTGATGGTGGTGATGGTGGCATGATGGTAGCATGATTGTGCATGATGGTGGCATGATGGTGGCATGATGGTGGTGATGGTGGTGGTGATGGCGGTAATGGTGGCGGTGATGGTGGTGAAGCAGGGGCGAAGGTGGCAGCCATGATAAGTAGGGGCTACACACCATCATCTGTTCTTGCCGAGAATGAAAATCTGTTCATCAACGCTGTTTGCAGTTGTTCTTGCAAGCATGATGCTTCGCACTTTCCAGACTCCAGACCGTGTTAGACTCGCCTCAAGCAATGTAGTTCAGCCTGTTCATCCAGGCTCGCACCAGAAGGAATGCCCCCACTCTGTCAATTAGGCCGTGTCCTTTCGAAACCGCTGGGAGATCCACTGGTGAAGATCTCCGCCAAGGCAAAGGTCCAGAATGAGACAAAGGGAGCTCTGACTGCGAACGGTCTCCTGCGCGCTGCTAGCTCCACCACGATAGACAAGATGATTCAGATGATAGGCAGACGTTAGTCTTTCTGGTTCTGGCCGAGTTTGTTAGCACAAGTACTGGTACTGGTGGAAGATTGCATGCCAAAGCGGCGCACCACTGACTCCCATGCTAGATTGCCCTCCCTTCCCGAGGCAGCGGCGTGCAGTCGAACGATGTGAGGATGGCTGAGACACTTGGTGATGTGCATCTCCTGATCCTTGGCAAGCTTGACGTGGCTATGAGGACAAGAATACAGTGTAATACAGCAATAGATACGGGGAGGCAAATAGACCACGTGAAGCCCCGGTGCGCCCATCGTTGCACAACCCCCCTCCACTACAATACCTCATAGTTGTCGCGGTCGACTGGCTAGGAGAAGTACAACTGGAGACGGGTTGACAGAGCCTTGAGGTCAGGGTGTTCAGGCCTAAAGGGCACGACCGTCTGTAGGGACTGGAGCTAGTTTGCACACCCTGGCCCATCTTGGCCCAAACAGGGATGCTACCACTGCTCCAATGCTTCCGGTGGTCATCCCTGTGCTTTGTTGAAACAGGCTAAACCCCCAAGTGATGTCGCAGGCAGTGGAAGGGTCCCGATTTGAACATGCACTTGGTGGATACCGGCATACACGACTGATTGCATGCGTTCGTGCTCTGCACCGCACTCCTGAGTGGCTATGACGGTAAATGAGCAGGTCGGCCCATAAAATTCGGCTTCCAAGCCAACTTCCATGTCGGCCGAGGTGCCCCGTAGGCAGGCATGACTTTGACCGCGTACTTCTGGTTGGTGCCCCTTTTAACCTGAACTTCATCGACGTGCTTGAGGCTTCAGGATCAAGCGTTGAGCTCCCCACAGCCAAGCTGACCGTTCCGAACCTTGCTTTCCATTGCAAAGCCAAGCAAGTCCAACGCTTCTCCGGCATTGGGTGCGTGGCTTCCCCTCGCCCAGTCTCCGCGTCACGATGTACCTCCAGTCACAGAGTGCCGCGGCAACCTGGTTCAGTCGTTCACACACATGTACATCTGTGGAGGGCACCGCTCTTCCAGCGGGCTGTTGATTGTTGGCACTGCCGATGCAGACCTGCCACGGCATGGCCGACAAGCCTGTAGCACCTCTTCTGACTTCTGTCTGTGTCTCAACCACGAGCGCGAATTCAAGTCCTAGCCACATCCGGATCTCCACTGGTACTAGAACAGCCTGATCATGTCGTGCGACTCCCTCACGGCCTCCACCCCGTCATCATATTGGCAACCTCACTAATAACAAAGCAAAGCCTGATTTGTCACTGTCGCGGGTCTGTACGTGCATTGATGTTGATGCTCTTTGCAAAGCGAACGACATCGTCGCACAAATGCATTCCTTTCTTAGTTCTGCACAGTCGGGCTGAGGTGATCCATGGTGGTCTCGGAGCCTCGCAGAGACTGATGCAATCAGTTGGGTACCGGCTTCCCCCCCTCCCCTGCACTTCTCTCCAAGCTCATCAAGAAACGAAAAATCATGAACAGCGAAACATACCAGGTAAGATCAAACCGCGCAAACTGAAGATAAGGCCGTGGCTGGCAGTGGACTTGCTGCTGAGGCTGCTGAACTTCGATTTCAGCTTGGAAGGCTCGTTGCCCTGTGCGACGGTAGGTTTGAGGTAGGCTCCCCAAAGCATGCTGAGCTTGGGCTCCCCTTAAAGCCTTAAAGCCAGCTAGCATCCCGACGGAGCTTCCACAAGTTCCAACATAAAAAAAAATCTGCCAAGGCTAGGCTTTGCCACTCGGCATTCCTACTACGTTGCATTATACTATGTGTCGCTTACGGGCCGTACATTACACTACTACCGGTACATGATACCGTACATTATACTATAGATACGCGCTTGCAATCTTCTTCCAGGTAGACGCTGCTTGACCCTCTGCAGCAGCTCCTCCGCGGCAGCCACGTTCGGCGACGCCGCCTTGCTGAGGGCTGGAGTAGGAAGGTGCGGCGGAGTGTGGGTGGAGCAGTCAAGATTTTTCACAAATCAGCCTCAGAATGATCTCTGCATATGCGTGCCGTCCGGGGCTGTGAGATTTCCCGGTGGGAACTTGCCTGCTCTTAAAAACCTGTTTGCCTAAGCACAGGGCATTGCCGAAGCTGATCGGCCTTTTCGCTTCCTCGGCGGAGCTTCAAAACAGCTTCGCATACATGACAGCAGTCACTATGCCGACATCTAGAGCAGTGGTTCACCTCAAGCACATCTATGCATTGAGCACAGAAGCCGAAGGCCCCTCAGGCACAGCACCTAAGCTGCGTCCTGCCACAAGAACCACATGAGGTGATGAATATCAGTCAGCACCTCAGACACGACAGACAGGTCCGGTCCTGGCTGTCCTCGGGGTGCCCGCTTGCCGGCTTTGGGCAAAGGCATGAAGGCCGTGGAGACTCAGTTGGACTTCGGGCCGCTGCCGTACAGATTACCGCTGGCACGATATGAGAGGAGTCCTGCATAGCTGTTGAGCACATCTCTTGCTAGGAGGCCGCAAAGACGGCTGTAGCGAACTAAAGAACCCTTTATGGCACATGCTTTGTCCATGTCTACACGAACATACAACAAACCCCACTTGCAAGATGGCAGCGAGGAATTGTCGCTTCTGGCAAGACTTGACATGCGAGCATGCATCAAACAAGACACACAGTGCCATTCAGCATTGCAGGATGCATGGCAGTACTGCCGAGCACATGGCAGACTAATGCGGTGGAAAAGCTTTGTTGGGAAAGGATGCGCGAATTTGAATGTATGAGCGTCATTGAGCAGTGATCCGCCCAGCACATGCTCTCTGGACCACAGAATGACAAAACTATAGTCGACACTAGATAAGCTGGTGCTCTCAAAAAACTTGATGGTCGAGTAGTGTAGATCGGCTGAACAAACCCTTAAAATGCTCTTGATGAGCTCGGCAGCGGCGGCATCGCGAAGACTCGTCGTCAGACCGTCAGCGATGCTCTCAACAACTAGGCCAACGTCCAAAAGCACGACTTGCTCAAATGATGGGCAGCTCGTCTCTCAAATGCACAGATATCAAAGGACCGTCGGCTCTTGCAGGAAATGTCCCTATCGCAGCCCTCCTTAGGCTTCGCCTCCTGCAGGGCAGCACTGGCGCATTCCTCCAGGAGGCAGAGCATAGGGCCAAGCAAAAAACCGCTGGGGCCTGTCAAGGGCAAGAAGTCCTTAAAGCGCCGGACCGTGTCCGTGCCAGTGTCTCTTGCGGTCCCAGGAAGACATCTCGAAATGACAGGCTCCACCCGTTGGTTCTAGGCGGGGTATACTAGGGGTGGGAGACTGAAGGCCGCGTGAGGTTTTGGTGGATGTAGGCACTTCGAGTGAGACTCAACAGTTTGGAAGTGTTCATACTTCCACGATGCACTTGGTGCACAAAACTGCTCGGGCGTCCAGCATAACGCAAAAATAATGAAGACAGGCAGTGACCTCTTGTTCACATCTTGAGCAGCTTTGCTCTGCAAGGATAACGCAGTGCACTATGACGCCTGCTCACCCGCTGGATCCGGGCGCTTCTGAACTTAAAAAAATACCTTGGTAGAGAGCGAAGCGCAAAGGCAGTCAAGGGGTTGGGGCGAAGGCATGCTTGTGAGATGAAGAGGTGTCGGTAGCTTGGGACGCTCTTCTGCGGTACAGCTCCCTGAAAAGGTGGGGGGTTCACAAACTCTTGAGGGTCAAATCGAAACCCTGAGGTCTGCACTTTGACTGGTACAGGAAGCTGAAGAATCGAAAGTCGAAGCCTCGAGACACAACGACGGCTCTCATGTAGTTCGATAGTGGTAGACGATACACCTATGACAGCTGCCACACTACATGGCCTAAGTCGGGTTCTTCCATTCACCCCCGGGCTCAGTCTACTTGCGCTGATCACAAAGCCGAGGCGGGAGCAAACGGCTGCAGAAGATCTGCTCGTTTCACATCTGCACACTGTGCCCCTGAGACGGCGGGAAAAATCTCGACAGAGAACCGAATCAGCCCCAGCAGAACGGTGACTGACATGTTCGCAACTCAGACGCAAAAGAACGGCGGATCCTGCGCTTACTCCCGGAGAGTGTCTGCATCCCCATACCAAACTCCGAAACAAGCTGGGGCGATCCAGAAAACTAGCCAGCGCCCCAAACAGTCCCAAAATCGCCCCATACCTCGGGACCATCTACTAGCCCTCTGAATCAAGCCGAGGCTCCTCCATCCACACTTGGGTGACACCGTGAGCTCAAGCAATCTAAATCAATTGTGGGAGAGCAAGGGCTGTGCTGAGACCTGCACGAAGGCTTCTGCCCTATCTACCTCTCGCTACACTGACGCGGGTGTACGTGAAGTCAGGGTTCAATCTTGCACGTTGCTCTCCTGAGGGAAAAATCCACAGCTCACTTCAAGCAAATCTCAGTCTTTCTTGCCGACGACCTTGGACCAGGCGGCTGGCGCGTGAAGTCGGGCACCAAACGAGGAAACTGAGCTCTGGGCCTTTGTGAAAGAAACATACTTGCTCGCGTTGGAGGCCAGCGTCACCCCCAGATTCACGATCTTCCTAAGGTCTCTTGAAACGTGGGTGCGGTCGCGGCTGTTAAGTGCAAGTCGACCATGGCCAAGAGCACGTCTCACACTCATGCCCGCACGCTGTGCCCTGCCGTGCCGTTGAGGCCAATGCTGGGGAGAACGGCCGACAATACCGTTCGCAGCGCGGACGGCCTACCAATGCACACTGCCCATGCGTTGGGAACGCTTCTCTGAACTAGTGGTTTTGCAGGCGATCGAAGTGATGCATCACTCTATTCATCGACGGCAAGTCGCCACCCAGCCATAAAGGTCGATGTCCCTCGGCATTTGAGGAAAGCTCGGATGCAGCTCTAGGGAAAGAAGAGACAAGGCACAGGAAGGAAGGCTGTCTCAGCATCCTCCCACCCCTCTTGTAGTGGATCATCCGGCTTGGCCGAATCTCCAAACTCCGGAGTCATTTCTCCCGAGTCCTCCTACAGTGCCTGGAAGGGAAGCCTTGAGGTTCCCCTAAAATGTGGGGCAATTCCGAATTCTGCCATGCGGTCACGACGAGGAGCGGGTTACTGCAAAAAGACAGTCCCAAGCTTCTCCAAGCCTGCTCCATGGCTGGATGCCTGGAACACGAATCCCAAAGCCGTAAATAACCCCGGGCACTGCAACCGAAACCGTGACCACGAAGAGAAAGGCGGATCTGGAGACTTTGATTCTGGCCTCATTCCCGCAGGCTTTGCATGACTTTGTGGCGCTGTGAAGCGGCCCCAATCACAGGGTGCTGAGCAATTCAGGCCCTGCAGGGCTCTACACCTAATACGCTGATCGCTCGCTCTTGAACGGCACAGACCTAGGCTTCTTTTACTACAGCTTCAAGCAGCACCAGGTCTACTGCCATCATGCCGGTACGACGAGCGAACATGCGCAGTTGATTGCCTTGTAAGATGCGAAGCCCGGTTGAGGGTGCAAGGCCAAACGAATTACTCATCGGCGCGACATTCTTGTCGGTCTGGCAGCCGGATACCTCCATGGGCGGCTTGCTGTTGACATGACACACGTCCGGTGCTGGCCATTGGCCCTGTGGCAGATGTCCGCATGTCCGCAAGAAGCGAAGAATCGACAGCTTACCTTGCAGCTAAAGGCACGAGTTGCGCTGTGCTGGGCGCTCCACGCAGCTTTCGCGGCATCCTCAAGTCACAAAATCTCCGTCTAGACACACACAGCCGGGACTGGGCTTCATAATAGCGTGACAGCTTTGCTGAGCACGTCTCTCCAGCCTGCGATGGTGCTGCGGCTGTGAGAAACTCGTCGCGGTTCACCTGACACAACAAAGCTCCATCTACGCTGCGAGATTGGCAACCAAGAGAAACCGGCAAAGAACTACACCACAAGGCTTGCTGCTTATGGTGCCCTGCAACAGCATGTCATGTTTGCACATACGGGAGGATGCCAATCTCAGCAAATTAAATTAAATGAACATACTTCATTAACGTGAGCCTGTGCCTGCCACATCAAAGAATTTCTGCGGTGAGGAAGCATGAGACAAGCGAGATGGTCGACCTTCAGCAAAAAATGTCTGATGAATGTAACTTGCCGTCGTGACGAGGCCACCTTGCCACACTCTGCAAGTAAACACACTTCATGAATTCAAGACTGTGCCTGCCCCATCAAGGGATTCCCGCGGCGAGGGCGCTTGAGACAAGCGAGAGGGTCGACCTCCAGCGCACGACGTCGGATCAATGCAACTTGCCGTCGTGACGTTGCCACTACGCCACGCTCAGCAAATGAACACACTTCATGAATGCGAGCCTGTGCCTGCCCCGTCAAAGGATAGGCGTGGTGAGGAAGTAGCAGCCACGCGAGATGGTCGACCTCCAGCAGACGATGTCCCCTGAATGCAACTTGCCCTGGTGATGTTGCCACCATGCCACTGTGTGAACACGCGAGCCTGTGCCTGCTCCATCAAACGATTTTCGTGGAGAGGAAGTATGAGACAGGTGAAATGCTCGACCTCCAGCAAACGACAGTCGTGACGTTACCACCATGCCACACTCAGCAAGTGAGCCTACTTCATGAAAGTGAGCTGTGCCTGCACCATCAAAGGATTCCTGCGGCGAGGGCGCTTGAGACAAGCGAGATGCTCGACCTCCAGCAAACGACGTCTGATGAATGCAACATATCTGCATGTCCACGGAGGAGGAAATGATCCGCGTTGACACTTCATTCTCCTGTTGCTTTGACACCAAGAAAGCGGAATTAAGCACCCGACCCTCCTCACTTTCGTGAAAACTGGCCAAGGGCCCGAGCAACCTGCACCAAGGTCAGCACAGCGGACCCTCGCCAAGGCTCACCGTCAGGCTCTGTCGGGTACCTGCGGAAGTCCTTTTCTGCAAGAACCGCCAGTGTGCAGGAGTCCGTGGCCGTCACGGTGGCCGCACGAGGACTGGCACGAGGACTGGCTCTGTGAAGCAGCGCTCTCCTGCCAACACCCCACGCGTACCTCGCATGCATCAACGCCAGCTCTCCGAAGTAGTCACCGGGCCTAAACGAGCAATGACAAGGCCCTACATGTCGGATGCTTCCGGACGCGGACGCGATGATCCAGCCGCTGAGATCAAGGCTCATAGGTCTTGAGGTCACGGCCGTTCTGCAGTTCAAATCACGGAACATACTGTACTGTTATGGCTCGGGATGCCTTGCTAAGCAGCAGTCACAGCAGGGCAGTCCTTCGACACAGTCGCGGTGCCCTCTATCAAGAGGAAGAACTCGTGTCCTTGCATGGTCGCAAAGTCATGACCTGGGATGCTTCGCCTCCGTCCAAGGGTCCTTCTTCACCCTCTCGGATGATGATGTGACCAGGGTCGTAGTAGCGAGTCCTTCCAAACAGTTGAGGTCAACAGTGCTAAGGCTGAGGGGTATAGAAGCTACTGCAATCGGCAGCCTCAGGCACTCGATCACCTGCGCAGTTTGCGCTACGCGAAGACGAAGACGCGCTGCATGATTTGATGAAGCACCTGTTGACGCTCTTCGTCGTCCAAGGGCTGGAGCACGTCGACCGACCTTATTTCATGCGACTACGACCGACCAGCTGGCTAGTACTCAAGGGATCCTTGTGTGTAAACGGTGCATGTTGGCACCAAAAGATATCTCGCAGATGCGTGTGTCGGCACGATCCTGTATTTATGCATATATGTATGTATTTCTATGTTTATGTCTATGTGTATGTCCATGTATATGCACATGCACGTGCATATGTATGTGAAAATGCACCTATCATGCATGCATGTATGTCGGCCCGTATGTATGAATTTTACGTGTACTAGTATGCTGTGTATACTTACCTACAGAGGTTGTGTGTGTGTCTGTGTGGAAAGGCGGGGGGTGTCATAAATGCATGTATGTGTCCGTGTGCTGGAGTCTCTGGGTGTTTGCTTGCCTGTTTGTCTCTGGGACTGTGTACTCATAAACCCAGAATGATGTGTGCCATTGAATGAGAACATTGATTCCTCCGAATGCTGTTGGTCTAGGGACTGCTGATTTCCTCGCACTTGATCGTTTGCTTGGTTCTCCATTTCTTGTCTCCTGGATTGATCAATGAACCGTCTGTACAGGCATTTGTGTATCGGCTAAGTTCGTGCCACTAAACCCTGAACACTCTGCAGCTCGCTTCTCGGAGCCACACATCAACTTTCGATCGTAGTACTTCCGCTTCGCTTCCTGCAGAGGTTCGGGGTGGAATTGCACACCAATGACATGGATACAGTGGTACAATCTCATCAGGTCCGGAGAGGTTACCACGGCCACATTTCGCTGAGGGTCAGGATCAAGGAGTGTTGACACGAACTCCCAGTTGCGCTTCACGAACAGAACTCTTGATACTGACGGCTGCCATCAACAAATCAAGTTCACGAACCTGGAAGGAGCAAGTGATGTTGTGGACCGTCTGTCTGCTCACAGACCAAATCACCGCATCCTTCGTGGCAACGCTGTACCGACTCATTCGGCGAAACTAAATCTCGAGGTCCCCGCGGATAATGCAACCACGGTCGCCGCACGCGGGGCCTTCGGCGTGCAAAGCGGTTCCGGAATCTTCGGTTTGTCACCGGGCCTGGTGGAGGACCGCAAGCTCACCGAAGATACTGCCGGGCCTCAGGCTCGATTTTTTTCTTTTGCTTCAGGTGATTCAAGTGTGAGCTTCTTTGGCACTGTGCTGTCTCCAAGAGCTGCGCTCCGTGTACCTTTGCACAACTCTCTCCTGACACACACAAGACACGGTTCCACAATTGGCATTGGGAAGGTCAGGAACCTAAGCTTGCAGGTCTAGAGTCTAGAACAGGCAGCACATGCACGCGGAACAATGAGAATCGTATCTCTGACGATGCACCTCGTACTTGTCTGCCTTCAGAGCTTCCAGCCTGCCATCCTGTTGTCAAGCTATCACAAGCACTGCCCTCGGAACCGTACCGAACAAGGCATGGCCTCCAGCACGAACAGTCCCGGCTTGTCATTCTCCACGTAATGACCCTGCACGATAACGTAAGCATCCCGAGGTACCTGCAGCATCGTGCGACTCCGAAGTGACTGTCAGCATGGTCACCGAAATTGATTGCAAGTCGTGAGGTTGCAACTGTAGCTGGCTTTGTCTACTACTATACTAGTTACTATACTACTACAACTTCTACTAAAGCTACTGCTTCTGCTACTTCTGCAGCCAAAGGCACTGGCACTGCCACTGCCAGTACCACTGCCATTACCACACCGACTACGACTACCGCTACTGCTACCCGACCCCTATCACTGCCACCACCCCTACCACTACTAGTGGAGTTACGAGGACGACAGCAACAAAAACACCAGCTTGCTGCAGGTGCTGCCTGCTACTACGACTACTGCTGCTCCTACTCTTACTCCTACGCCTACCTTTTTCCTCCTACTCTTACTTCTCTGCTGCTCCGCCTCCTACTCCTACTCCGACTGGGACTACCACTGCCGCTACACACGACGACGACCACCACCACCACTCCTACCGGCATACCGCTCTTGCTACTCCTACTGCCACAGACATCCGGTGACTGAACATGATGCTGCAAGCAAAAACTCTGAAAAACTCCAGGATTTTTGTTGGCTCAAGTGCATATCTATCGGTGTGTTTTTGGAGCAACTCTCGACTATCATGCGCACTTCGTGTGGGCGGAAAGCATCGATTAGCTGCTCGAAATGATCGTTGTCCAAATCCTGCCGCAGGGACCGGGTAGGCTGCAAGCCAGGCACAAAGCCAGGACGGCCGGGACTCGCGAGTTTTGCAGATCAGGTCGGCTGGCCTCCAAGTAGCTACTCAAAGGATCTGCCGCCGCATCGAGGGCGTCACGCAGCAAGCACTTGATCCTCAACACTCGGAGTGCAATCAAACAACGTGTGTGTGTGTGTGTGGTTCGCAAGGGCAACAGCAAGCGGATAGTCTGTGGTACACGACATGAAGCTGTCCTGTCGTCCTTGCGGAAGACAGGCGTAGTGCCGCGGACCTTGGCATGGTCGACAGCACTCCACGGCATGTACTTGCACTTTCTCACAGAGCTGTATGGTTGCGCATCTATGTGCGATTACATGCACCATCTCTTTGCTCCATCAACTCCATCAGAAACAGACACTATCGAGACATGCCAGCTTTCATTTATATAACTCCATAAAACTATATACGTATGCATCTATATATCTATTGTATATCTACATATCTTGTACCTACATGCAAATATATATTTTTCACCTATGTGTCCATATGTCTATATATCCACACATCAACATCTAGCTAGCTAGCCATCTATCAGTGTGTATGTGTGTATATATATATATGGTACCC